GTTGTGTATCTTTATAGTGTACATGTGATGTTTTGATACAGGCACACAATGTGAATTAATCAAATCAGGGTAATTGGAATATCCATCACCTCAGGCACTTTTCTTTGTGTTAGGAACATTCCAATTCTACTCTTTTAGTTATTTTAAAGTATACCCTAACTTATTGTTGCTTACAGTCACTTTGTTGTGCTACCAAATATTGTTCATTCTACCTAACTATCTAACTATATTTTTGCAGCCATTAACCATCCGCCTTTTATCCTCCGCTCCCTTCTACCCTTCCCAATCTCTGGTAACCATCATTCAACTCTCTGTTAGACTCTCCTTTTTATTGGATATCCTGAAGACCCAGCAGCATTTACATTTTTACATTTTGGCTGTATTTCCGAGTCTATATTTCTTTACTTTAATCAGATTTCAGAGCTGGCCTGAGGGATTTGCCTAAATTTGTGAGACTTCCTGGTCTCACTGAGTAACTCTGAGAAACATTCTACCAGCCATACATTCTCAGACCATTTCAGCCTGATGCCTTCTGCAGATGGTTGCTTTTATTCATAAAATTGATCTTTGTTAGCTTCAGTTCTAGAAGGGGGCATATCCAAACCTTTGTCTCCAACTACTGAGGCTCACCCTTTGGAGAGCTTCTATCTTGTAAATAAAGTTTTTTTGAAAACAGTCATACACACACTGCCCCTCCATACCTCCTACAGTCTACTCATATGTAATCAATTAGATTTTCTCCAGTAACTTTTGCCCAATGGAAGAAAAGTGATGGAGGAGAAAAGGGGGGGGAAAGAAGATTATGGGGCAGAGATCTGATCTGAATGAGAGAAAGAATTGAGAATTGAGACAGGATAGTTTGCACAACTTTCAGCGAAGAGCTGCCTGGAGTTACCAGGGAAAGGGAGTGGATGTGGCTGGGCAAAAGGCACCAGGAGCAAAGGACAAGGGGAGGCATTACCACTCCACGCAGGGCCACACTGTCAACCTAATCCCAGGGATATGTTTTCCCAGGCCAGCAGGAGACAGTGGTTCTCAAGGACCTTCTGCTACTGCTTTGCCCAACCCCATCACACCACAAGATTTCACAGCTGCATAGAAAACTTCCATAGGTAACCACTGTCCTGGGTTTGGGTCAGATCTCTTTGTAGATCATTTTATCTTGTCAGTAATCCCTTATTTGTTAAAGTGTGTGATTTAGAAAAAAATGTATTACAATAATGGCAATTTATTATGTAATTAAGTTTATCCATTTTAGGAAAATAATGAGTAAATGTGCTAAATTAAGGTATTCTATGTTATTTCTCAAAATATCAGTTAGGAATGTGGACTGCCTAATGTACTGGGTTGAGAAAAAGGGTGGGCTTTGTCCAAGCCCATCTGAAATAAGTGCAGTGATTGATCAGCAATGTCTGCCACAGGAACTGGATGTGGGAGTCTGAGTATGTTCACTTAGTGTTTGCTATCACTATGAAAACAATCAAATATTTTAGAGGCTGAATTCATGAGACTAGAAAAAAAAGTTGTAAGATTACAAATAATCCTTGCTACTTGGAAAAAAAGCATGAACAATTTCATTGCCTTAAATCTTCTAACAGAATTTAGACCAGAGGTTCCCAAGGACAGAGGGAGGAGAGTATCAGATGGAGATTGGAGAGGCAAGTGAGGTTCAGAAACAAAGCAATGTTATTGTATGCCATTGCTCTTATTTTTTAGGCAAGTCATTTTATATTATTGTTAATTTCAAATTATATTAAAGAAAGCATGCTTTTCAAATGGGAGGCATGATTAGAGAGATTCAGAAATACTAACTTAGACTCAAATATTGAAGACATGACTTTTTCTAGGACCACTAAAAATGCTTTGTTAAAAAATAATATCAATCAGAATTTACAATGTAGAGGAAAGAATCATAAAGGTAAGGTGTTTCTGGTATGTCCTTATGGCATATCATTTGACCTGATAAATAATAAAGATTGATTTCATTAGTAATTTAAGCAATAACTCAAAGAAAATCAGTCACTGCCTCATGCTTATTTTCGGTTCTAAAGGAACCCTTATGAATTATAGGAAAATGCAAACTATTAGCCCAGTTTAGGCTTCAAAAGCATTTTCACTAAAATTTATTTTTGCACATGTGATAGTTTAAAATGACTTCACATGAGATCAATCTGTTAGAAAGTATATTAACTCAAGAATCAAAAGACCCAGATGCTAGTTTTATTTCTGACAAAACTAGCTGTGTTGCTTGGCCAAGTAACATGACCTTTCTGGATCTTGCCCTCTACAAATGGAAAATGAGTGTGTTGTTAGATTATCCCAAATATCCCTTTGGCTTCACTACTCTGTGAGTCCAAACTGTAACAGAACAATCTAAAGAGAAGATTTTGGAATATGTTTAATAATGTTCTGAAAGGAAAAGGGTTAAGAGTTTTATGACTAGCATCAAAAGTAATCAGAAATGGATGAGATAGTACAAGTGATCAAATCTGCCCTAAATAAGCAGATTGAAAACAAAGAGAATGTTCATGAATTTGAACACTAGAATTTGGTTATTAGTATAAAGAAACAGTGAACATAGGAATAAAAAAGTAGAATTTAGCAAAACATAATCTGGAGCAAAAGAAAATGGAGAATGGAGAAAAATACAACTTTTTATGGATAACCAAGGACGGAGTGGTATCTCAAGAGCAAAGTGGTGGAGGGAGGGCTTTGTAGCTTAGAAACAGACAAAATGTTTAACTTGGGAGCACCGCAGTGCTCCATAACAACGTCCATAGTATAAAACATTACTTTATGGCTATCTTATTTCTTTGCCACTTAAAAAACACAGATCTTTTTTTAAAAAGAGATGATGCTTACCTGCAGCATTCACAATTCTGTTTGCTCTCATAGATCCCTGTGGCGTTTCAACGTCCCATGTTCCATCTGACCTGAGTTTCAGAGAAGTCACTGGTGCAGGATACTTTAAAAGGGCACCGTATTTCCTAGCCCCAGCAGCCAGGGCCATAGTTAGAGAATAAGGATCAATGTGACCATCTCCAGGATTATACAATCCAGCTAAAATCTAAATAATCATAATAGAGTCAATATTCAAATGAATATACATTTATTACTCAGTCTAAATATATTCTGCTAGCAAATGTTTAATAAAACTGGACTTTAAAAATGTTTCTTGATCTGGAAGGTGACTGGGTCCCTGAAGTCTTCATGAAAAAGAGCCACCATTCAAGTCCTGGACTGTGACATGAGAGAGGAATAAACTTCTAGCTTGTTTAAGCATTATTATTTTGGTTTCTGACATTTGAAGCCAAATCTAATCCTAAC